AGTGTTTTTTTTTTTAATATTCGCAATGTTTTTCATAATAAATTTTTTTCGTTATTTTTTTATAGAAATATACTTAGTTCATGCTGCATGAAGTGGCATATATGTAAATTAGTGCTTCAAAGGTTTTACAAAATTTAGGAAAATTCTACAAAATTTCACCAAAATTTTGAACTTTTAAACAAAAATTTTTAGAATTAGAGTTCACTCAACTCCAGTATAACTAAGTGCAAGCGTTAAGTGGCTTCAAGCTTCCATTGATTTTTGAGAATTTGTTTGCCTGATGAAGGTTGTGCATTTTCTCTATATAACAAATGCGTGATAGTTTTTTTGTATGGGAAGAAATTCTAAAAATTTTGTTTGAAAGTTGAAAATTTTGAATTGTGAAAACTTTGAAACCTGAATATACTTACATATATGCTATTTGATGCAGAATGAACTATTTATATTAAAAATTAACGAAAAAGATTTATTAAGAAAAATATTGGAAATATTAAAACAAAGGTGTACGGAGACTTATTCTGGTGGGTGCATGGATGTATGTACAATACTATTGAGCTTAAAAAAAAAAATAAGCTGGCTGAGAAGTTTACGTTTCCATTTTTCGTTACTTTTCTGTTCGTTTGACTATAAAAAAATAGGGTTCAGGTATCACAAACTGCACTGAGATTTTATCATAAAAGTGAGTGTTATCTTATTTCTTAATAATTCATTTACTTTTAAAAGTACAATATACGAATAACTAAATATATCGTCGATTAAAGTACAAAACCGCGTATCGTCATTCTGCAAAACCGCGTAACTGACATTGGCTGCCAAAAATCGGATTTGCTCACACATGCTCTTGCCTCAATCCTTATCCATTCGTCCTGAAATATACTAACCAGAAATGGGATTGCTTTATAAAAAAGAGAACCATTTTGAAATGTAGTGTTTTTACGCTCTAGAAAATAATTTCTACAACTTCACATACGCGGTTTTACATTTTGCTGATACGCGGTTTTTCACTTTAAACGACGATATGTATATCAACGTATTATCTTTTTACATACCCGCATAAATTTCGGCTGCGCTGAAAACACAGAAAGTCAAAACTATTATTTAATTAAAATTGTATGCTTTTAAAAAATTATATTTCGGAAAGTTCAACAAACGCAGACACCCTTCCTCATCTTTCGAACAAAGCATAGAGTACAAAAGACAATTTCGCACCAGGTTAAATATCTCGCCATTTCATCTGAATAAAGAAGCGAGACGATAACTTAGGCAAAAGATAGAAAATCTGAAAAAAGGGGTAGGAGAATTGTAAGGGTGAATGTTAAACAGCAAGTTGAATAGAAGTTAATTAGAATTTTTTACCTACGTACGTACATAAGTATTGTTCTGAAAATCTTAATGTGTAGTTCGGGACCGCAAAAACTGGGAGATGAAAAGAATGAATAAAAATGGACCACTAAATTAGCTGGACGATAGCAAAACGAACGGAAAACGGAAGACTTATGTAAAAGCCGCAGGCTGTCGATAAAATAGCAGGATACATAAAATAATTTTGGATTGTAAGTCAACGTAGGCTTTAAGTTTTAGTAGGGTAATTGGGGACCAAAATCCAACACAAATACAAAGGGGCCTTATATGTATGTACATTAGGGTGTCCCAGAACTAAGGGGGCATTCGAATTTTGTTAAATTGAATATGCGTACCCAAGGCTGGTTTTTATTTTTCTTTTTGCAGTATAATGCTTATTTTTACTTAAATAAAATTATAGTTTAAAAAACTAAAACCTCCCTATTATAACTGCCATTCGTACTGGAATCAGGTATGCAACTTGAGAATAGAAATCGCTGCATCTTTTAGGCGCATCAATATTACATAGTTACATCCCGAGCTAATAAAAGGTAAAAATGGGTACCGTGGTTTTTCCAAAATACTGCCTTAATACGAAAAAAAAAATTGTTTTGCTCCCTAATTTTTTTTTAATGCACAGAATTAGTATAAATTTTTCAATGGTTGATACAAAACGATATAAGCCAACGGCGAATCGGGCGTGGAAACACGTTATAAAAATGCATATAAATAGGTATATTCTTTTGCAACCGAGCTACAAAAGAACACTCGCTTCAATGACGAAATACATGCAAAGCAACAACACAAACTCGGCTATTTATCCGAGTTCACCAAAGGTCGGTTAAAAAATACGCAACCGTAAGGGTAGTGTTGTTAAGTGAAAAAACTAATATATGTAGATATTGCGAATTGTTAATGGGAAGTGCAGAGGGAAATTCTTGTTTTCGTATACGTATACAGTGAAAGTTATCATAAACGAACGCTCTAATAAGCGAACATCTCCTATAAGCGGACACATTCTTGGGAACGAACAATTCTTAGTTTTTTTTCCATACAAAACACTCTCCCATACACGGACTTTAGTTAGGAAAAAAAAATTCCCATAAGCGGACGTGAGGCTCTAACAAGCGGTCAATTTTTTCTTCAGTCAGATGTTGACTCTTGCGCTTGTATATGTACACAAGAACATAGTCCACATTCAAAGATATTTTCTTTTCTAGAAAATGTGTTGCCTTTTCGTTACCCTCTTCTTGCTGCTTGAACGAAGCGGGCAATGACATTGGACGGTAGGAAAGAAAACGCCATAAATTTGAATTTATTTTTGATTTTCCCTTTTTTTGTCTATTTAAGAATAAATATTCATTAAATTTAGATACTTGCAATTTCAATGTTTTAATTTTGAATTTTAATATTAGTTTTTACGAAATTCCCATAAGAAATTCCCATAATTCCCAAATTCCCATCTCCCACAGGCGGACAAAAAGTAGGTGACCATCGGAGTTCGCTTATGGAAGCTTCCACTGTATGTACATGATTTATATTTGAAATTAGTATATATATATTACGCAAATACCTCGCATAATTACTGATTTCTATTGTTTTTTGTGTCTAAATCCCGTTAAACAAATCACATTTTTCTTGCCATATACCAACAGGGTTGCTTAATTAGCTAAAACGAAATTTTAACCGAGATAAGCGTTCTTTTGTCGATTGTATATACTCTCTTGTAAAAAATAGGGACACGACATTTTGACCAGTTTATTATTTTTTATTAAAGTCTAGTTATTTAGATAATACTTAACACCATAACGAAATTAGCTGAAATAGAGTGTTTTTCAATTAAATTCTGAAATAGGGCGTTCGTCAATCAAATTCTGAAATAGGTTGTTCTTGAAAAGTATTCTGAGATAGGGCGTTTTCGAAATGCCTGCCGAAATAGGTCGATCTTCCATCCAGGTGTCGATATAAATATGTACATAAATCCACATTTCAAACTTTGTAGAGAAATAAAAAAAAATTACAGCAAACTTTTTATTCATAACTGTTAGAAAAATTCCAAGCTTGCAGTTTTGTAGCCTAGTAAATTCTAGTAATACTGTTCAAGTTTCGTGTTGATTTTTGATGGTCGACGGTATTATTATTTTTTTCCATACAAAAAAAAAATTGTGGAACATAAATAGTAAATTTGTATGGAAGAAAATTTGTGACACCGTCAACAAAAAAGATTGTCAAAAATCAACGGTATTTTTTAGACACTTCAAACTAGGAAATTGTCACTATTGCAACTTCTTTAATTTTTAAAAATTGTGTAAAAAATTAGAAATTTTGATGAACATGGCTTTTTTTGGACCGTATCTTTTTGTCTCGGGGTGTACAACAGGTACACATAGTGCCAGGAATTCCCTTTTTTTATTGAAAAACTGTTTAAAAAAATAGTGTGCTGTAAAAAATGTTTTTTTTTTTTATTGAGCTACTGCGAAACGCAATTTTTTCTTAATCAGTCCCAAACTTTTCCGCATATTCACTGGATTGATGGCGAATCTGTCTCGCGAAAATTCAGCAAATTTTGAACTTTTTAATCAGATTTTTTTTAATTTTTTTGAGTATGCAGTTGTGCAGCCCATTAAATTCTTGTAAAACAATGCCAGATCGGAGTTAGTCAAAAATCGCATTTATTTTTTAGAATTTTTTTGTTGAAGGGGCTTTGCATTTTTTCCCATATAAAGTATTTTCGAAAAAAAATTTTGTATGGAAGAGATTCACGCAGTCTCAAAAATCAACGGTAATTCCTAGCTACTTAAAACTTGTACTTTATTAACATAAAATTGATTGGGCTACAAATCTACATACTCAAAAAAATTCTAAAATATCTGATTAAAAAGCTGAAAATTTGCATGAAAATTTGCTTACTTTTTCTCGGGTTTTGCACAAAGTTTAGGAATGATATATTTGTTTTTTTTTTTGTTGTTGTAGAATGAACCATATTATTATTATATCATTACTTTTTAAATCCCTCATCAATTCAGTTTTTGTCACTTGCTAGAAACGGTTGAAGCACCTTAAACAGATTTACTTTAGGAAACTTTTGACACAGCAATTAACTTATTCACACAAATGCAGCAAAAAATATGCGAACACCTTCTAACCAAACACAAGCCATACTTATTTGAAGGCAACATAAAGTCTGTGGAGGCTACAACCGACATTGCATAATTACTACTCCAGCCGCAGCTGGCTCGCTTAAAGTTATCCATTGCCACTCGCCGGGAGTAGTAGCACTACCTCCTTTAAGTTGAGTCACAAGCACCGCACCACTTTACGCGCAGCGCAAATAGCGAAAAAAAACACTCGTAGATAAGAGAGAAGCTTCAAATGAAAGTATGTAGTTGGGAAAAGTGACTCTGGTTTGCGCCGCCATTGAATCAAGTTACTGCACTGCATCCACGCGAATCGTAACCTCATTAAATATTTCACTTTTTTGCATTCGCAATTTACTTAAGACTTATATTTTTAATGAATTAAAAGCCCTCTTAACGTCTTCTTTCCAACAACGTCTATTCTCCTTATGCATTTGCACTCGTATCCTGTACCTTCGCTGCCACCAATATGAACGCGTACTTAATTTGCCGGCTGGACCACATTTTGCTTTGGATTTGCAGTTCCCGCTCCTCCGCCGCTGCCTTCGCTGGTACCGAAAGCGCCACCACCACCGCCACCACCATTGGGCGCTGCTGGTCAAAAGCGCGAGCTGAGTGAAACACAAAAGGCCGTCATAGAAAAACTTAAGTGAGTTGAAACAAGTTGCTTGTGGCATTACTGATTTGCATAAATTATGACTTAATTGTGAAAAATAACCCATTGCATGAATTGAATTTTGCATTTTGTACCCGCCGAGTAGGACACGACCGCGCAGACGTCCCGATTGGTCCGAGATGATGAAGGAGGTGGAGTCTGGCAAGAAATTGCGTCATGTGCAGTGCAACGACAGGTGAGTGGTAAAAGGAAAAGGACAAAAGCGAGAAACCACTGAAACCACTGAAGGAAGACCAAATAAGCTTAACAAAGCTTAAATAAAACATATACGGAGCAATCAATATGCACACGTACATACCTATGTACATAAATAACTAAGCTAATTGCACACAAAAAAAAAACTTTAGGAATAAAGAAACTCAATTAGCATGGAGAGGTTTTCAAGCCTTTATGTGACTTGTAGCACTTGAGTTAACTGATAACTAAAAGCACATACGTATATATAAATTTTGCAGATCTCAGCCCATTCTCACTTGCAAATCAATGACGAAAGTGGACGATAAGTTCATCTACGAAACGGAAAAGGACAACTCACACAACAAACTACTGAAACAAATTCAAGGTGGCATCAAACTCAAACCCACACAGACAAATGATCGCAGTAAACCATTTATTGGGGGTTTGAGAAAATTCCGCAAACAGATGACAATAGAGGAGCAGATACAGAAGTCTCAATCGAAAATCAACCTACTAGCAGAGGTGAAATTCAATTTCGTTTCTTAGCTCTGCGTCTCATAACATCTAATTGCTTGTCCTGCAGGCTGCTACTGCTGCTGTTGGAGCCGCAGTCGGATCTGGCGCCGCTAGTGACCCGGCCATTATCACCAACAGCATTGTAGCTGCACTCTCAATTGACGATCCCAGCGGAGACGAACTCGACGATATTGACAAGATACGCGACGATTTGCAGAGCACAAAGCAGATGTTGGCCCTCGAATTGCGTAATCGCGAAGCGCAGGAACGGGAGAATAAGAAATTACTGGCGCAAATTGCAACTCTAGAAGCGGAGCTGGAGCGCGAGAAGTCTCGCGAAAAGAATCTGGAGTATGGCTCACGTATCATTGTGGCAACTATGGAACCGACAACCGCCAGTGAAGAGGCATACTTAAATTCACTCAAACAGGAAGCCGAAGATGCCCGCAAGACAGCCAAAGACCTAGAGAAGAAATATCTTGACACAGGCGAATTACTTGATCAAGCAAAGAGCGAGATTGAAGAGCAAAAGCGAACGATACAGATGATGGAGCGTAAACTGGCGCAGGCATTGCAGGTGAGTTGCGATAAAAATATTCACCCTAGAATTACGTTTGCTAAAAAAGTAGGCTTCTTAATATTATTATAAATCGTACTTAGCGTTTGTAAGAAATATGTATGCTTTAATGCTTAAATGAATTCTTAAAACTTGCAAGCTTTTCTTACTTCTCACCGCTATTAACCCAAAATTGAAAAAATAAAAATGCTAAAAGGGTAATGTGACGCCCCTGCCCTGTCCTATATGTAGTAGAAGGCAACAAACAAAGTATTTTTACTCACACGAAGACCCACTTGACAAGGAATCGTATTATGGCTTTGAAAACTATGCTAATTGCTACACTAACACAAAGGTAACACAAACTCACGCTTATCAGCATGCACTTGGAGGGTATACAAAGATAACTACTTATACTGTATTTAACAAATTTTTAGGGAGGCGGCTCTTTGAATGGTTCAAGACGACCCAGCGATGTGCATGGTGGACGTGATAGCTCACCAGATTTAGAACTGGATATGAGTGAAAGTGATCCTGACGAACCGGAGGAGAAAAAAGCGGAGCGCCGCGAACGACGTCTAGGGAAGGAAGTGAAGGTGCTCCGAAGCAAGTTGACAAAGATAAAAGTTAAGCGCGAAGCCGCGAAAAAAGAAAAGTTGGCACTGAAACAAGCTATGAAGAAGAACCATGTTATACTTAAGTAAGTACAAACATAATCTATGCTCATTCATCTATGCTGAGAATTGGGTACATTTTAATTGGTGTATTAAATGTGACAGAGAGGAAAACAAAAAGTTCAAGAAGCTGGAGAAGGAAGTTCAGAAGATGGCGGCCTCTATGAAGGACGAGGAAGAAGATGAGGACGATGATGAGGAAAAGGTGGTTTCATTCAAAATTACATTTAAGTTTGAAAATAATACTAACTACGATTTAAGGCAGAGGAACCCGAGGAGGATAACGATGCAGAAGAGACCGAGGAAGAGGAAGAAGATTCTGAGGAGTCGGAATCAGAAGAAAGCGAAGCAGAAACTGAAAGCGAATCCGAAGCAGAGGTATGATAAACTAAAATCAACCTGATTTAATATTTGCAAAACAAATTTTTCTCTCAGGATTCCAGCAACGCTGACAAAAAGAGTAATTTGGAACCGCGTGTGAAGAAACACGAGAGTCGTTTCTTAGCAATGAAGAAATGCAATGTATTGCTTCAAGCCAATGTAGATAATTTGCAAGACGAGATTACACAAATACGTGCCAAAGCAGCGAACTTGCAAGCGGAATTAGATGCGGTATTGGCTGATCTAGGTTTCTAAGCCTTTTTAAACGAATTTTTGTTAAAACGCGACATTTTGGATACATTTAAAAGCCTCATCTGAAAGCGGTCGTAAATTGCTTATTGTTTTGCGGTATTTATAGCTACTTTTTATGTGAATAACTAGGATTTTTTTCTAATAAATCAGAACTTACCTTATCTAGTAAAATGAAAACTTATCACCGTATTGAGTGGATTTCTTAACAATTGGCGAGCACTCTGGGTTACTCGTTTGGTCTTTAAACTCGTTTTAGCTAATACTGAATTGAATCTCAGATAGTTTTATTGATAGAAATTTTAACAAATCACATTTTTTTAATAGAAATGCTCAATATTTTGGCAAGCATGTGGTTTTTTGTAAGCCTTTAGTTTGTTTTCATTTATTTATTTCTGTTTTGAACTACGCATTTGAATGTTGTCTTGCAGTGGCCTTCAAACCACCAACGTTGTCATGGAGACTTTCAGTGGTCTTCAAGCCACCAAAGCTCAGAATCTGCCAGTGGTCTGCAAACCACTTTGGCAACAAAGTGCACTCCTAGAACGTTAACACATTCTAGCTACCTGGCAACGCTTGTAAAAACCGATTATACAAATTGTGAACCAGTAACCGATATATATTAATAAAATATGAATATGATGTCTTTTGTGTAAAGATAATAAAGTGCAACAATACTAGTATTTAAGCTCTCTTGCAATTCTTAAGAATTTTGTTTCTCCCTGAGCTTACAGGTACTTGCAAGAAGGTACAGGAAAAATGATCCCGTACTCCAAATTCCTCCAAAATCCTGTAAATGATAGCGAATTTTGGAGAGTTGTGTAGAAAATGAACTTTCGAGATTTTACCCGAACTTTTTCTTCTGGTGAAATCATGAAAAGTGTCAAG